GACCACCAATTTTGTAAACAAATCTCTGAGGCCCACAAACATCCCACCTATATGCGAATGCATAAATATATATGTATAATATATATGTATATACAAACGTCAGTTGTTAGAACTAAAAAGAATTAAAAAATCAATTATTTATCATGAAAAACACTTTATTAAACTTTTAATCACAATCTAAACAATTTAATGTGATTTTTGACATTATTTATCCTTCATGAGAGAGTCAATATCGGGACGAAAATTGGATGGTTTTACAATTAAATCATTTTCAACATTCAGTTGATTCCTATATTTAGTAGATTCTACTAGATGGAACGTAAATTCATTTTTTTCGACACAATTAAACGAAATATGTTGAAGAAAATATCAACCTAGGGATATCAAACTTACAAGGATAAACAAGAAAATAAGAAAATAGAGAAAATATAGTTCACCCAATCGAGTAGGGAAAGCTTATCACTTTTGAGGATGCTGGGAGCAGCTCAAAAATCATGCCGCATATTCTATCTCGAATATTCTCTATAAAACATCAAATATAAAAACCAAACCAGTGTGAGAAGCCGTAAATAAAATCTGAATAAAATAACAAACCCAAAAGTAACAGAACAAATCAATAAATAAGAAGGACATTAGGTTGGAAGAAGTAAAAGTCATTTTAAAGCTCTTAAAAAAATTATAAAATAGCAGGCATACGGATGGCGTTTTACCAAAATTTCTCAATCATCTGGATATTAAAGGTAAACTATGGACTATACTATAATTTATAGTTCACAAACATTTTTTCATTCATCAAAAATAACAACGTAAGTACTGCCTAAATCATAGTTAGAAGCTTAAAGTATTTATAATATTCAAGCCGTTTAAACCTGATACCAGATGTCAACCCAAAAAGCGACAGACTATAATATCGTTGCCATTCGCTGTTTAAAAATAATTTGAGTAAAATTAAGAGTACTCCTAGGAAGAATCAAAACATGAATTGATGAGGTTTTTGCCTGTAGAACAGGTGGGCTATAGACATAGAAGAATCTTGAGAAGAAGTGAACAAGTCCTGTCAATAACCACATAAGGATGCGGAAAATAGATATCAAAAGATACTAAACAAGGGGGCAGTTTTTCTAGATTTATCATGGGATAAGACATGGTTAAGCAATAAGGCCTAGTCCTAAAATTATCCAAAATACTAAAATATGCACCACACAAGGGCGATGAAGAGGTGCCAGATTGGTTGTAGGATATTGGTGTTTACCTTTAGCTATAGTTTCTTTATTATTCTTTTAGTGTGTCTACAAAAGATTTTAATTTTAATTACGTGTGCCTTACCCCAATTTGTTTCGACAATATTTCGCCATATGAAATACAAAACAAAACAAAAGTAAAATTAACTGCCTTAAAAATATAAAAAAATAAAACTCATGCAGATATTAATTATAAGATACATTTTTACTTACTTGTTCGGTGTATTGCATTTTGTGGAGGAAAAAGAAATTGTTCTTTTCGCACAAAAAAGAAAACGTCTGTTTTGGCGTGGAAAAATGAGATGATATGTATAGTTCGGTGGAAGAGGGAAAAAGTTTATTTTAGTGGATAAAAGGATTACTTTCAGTAATTTGTTTTGTTAAAATAATATAAACCAAGAGAAAAAATTGGTAAAACGTACACGGTGTTCCTTGTGCAGTAAGGTTCCTATAATATTGGCTACAACCTGCGCAGGCCATACTGCGCATTATTCAGTGCATACGAGGAGAATTAATAAGATGAGAGGAACAATGCAATAACAACTGTCAAGTGCTTTCATTTTTTTCAAAGGTCGTTAACTATATTCATCTTTTTCTTTTCATTTTTCTGTCGTTTCCGTTAATTATACACCGTATCCACATCACACACACACACATTATATAATTTGTATAAAAATTGAAAATTTCGTCTCTTCTCATTTCCATAACCTATCGATGCAAGCTGCTTTGGCATAGGTCGCTTATAGGTCGATGATAATAATACGAGACTTAAATATAACGCCTCGACGCACCACTAATATAATAATATAATATACCTACCGCGTTGCAGTTATCCCGTTATCCTTGCGTCACTCGGTCGGTAGGTATAGTACAATATTATTATTGTGGAATTAATAAAGGATTTAATATTATTATCAATAATCTATATACGGTGACAGTGAGGCGAGTGAGCGGAACTTATATTCTATTGGTAGGTACCTATATACATACACGGCTGTTACCCGCCGGTCCCTTTCCAAGTTATATAAAACCCTACGTAGGTATAAACTATACAGGTACGTTGTCAGTTTTTCATTCGACTTATTCAAATAGCAATAATACCTAAGTATATAATAGTATTATAACGAGGTCGACAAATAATGACAACGCAAAACGTTTCGGCCAGTCCTCCGCTTGACGATTAATATGATGACCTTATACAATATTATTTATTATTTAGCTCACACCTACGTAATAATAAGTAATACTTATCATTGAAATTCCTACCTATACAACATCATAACTTAAAAATACTTTTTCTCGGGACTGAATGAGCCATTATTATGACCTCTTATATTTTCAACGGGCTGATGATGTCGCCATGCCGGGCGCCTGACGAAGGATAGGCTACTGCTCTAGAGTGAAAAATGTATGAACGATTATTAATTAATTAATCTTCTTCGGCCAAAGTCTTACGAGTATAGGTAATTTTTCCCTATCATCCAGCTATTCGCCAAACTTTGCATACTAATAATCCGTCTTCGACCAAACCCCAGTAATTTGCCTGTATATATAGTAGTTTTCAAAGTTTGGACGATTTTAGAGACTCCATCGTATAGGTAAACCCGTAAATACAATATTTTATACGGGTGATACGAGGGGGGAGGGCTGTTACATTACGGTTCTTCGGACTCTCTAATATAACATCATGATATTTTAATATATTAATATAATATACTATTATCGGAGTCCGGATTCCAATACGTCTTTCGGCTGATTCTGGCCACCAAGTCCAAGTATAATATAATATTCATAAAATCCATAGTGAATACGATAAACAGTTAGCTGGTGTATCCAAAACCCATAATGCAGTCGTCGTTTTCAACCTTTTTTAAAAAGACGGCAAATTTTATCTCTCACAAAATCAACAAGGCATTAAGTCTTGCCGGCCGCCGACGACGAAGTAGGTCAACGACACTTGACATCCGGTCATCCTACGGATATAATATAAAGATTTACCTTATAACAATTTGCCACGGACTACTTAGATACTAGATGTGCGATACTTACAAATTGCTAAAAAATACTATAGTATAAAGCTAACTATAAATAATATATAATGTTCATATTGTATAGACGATCCGACTTTCGTTGTTATCTCGTGAAAGTTTTCTTGCAGAAATCACGATGCGCTACGACATCATTCGACGTTTTCAGTTGGATCTATAGGCACCTATAGATTTAAAAAAAAAACCGTGGCGCAGAAGAGGAAAACAAATAACGACGATGACGATTCATAGTACCCATATATTGCTTAATAATTCCAAAATCAAAAGCGTATTTTGATTTCGGTGTCCTACGCGCATATTGCGCAGTTATACTGATACGCATATTTTGTTGTTTGGTCTGTTTATAAATATTATAATATACCTACGACTACATGATAATGTTGTATCGAACATTACAACATTTTCTCTCTATGTCCTCCGTAATACCAGAGAGCAGCAGAAATGTTGCGAAGAAACGATGGAGTCGTGAAATGAAAGTCTGTACACCTCTGGCGGGGCTATAGTAAATGTTCTAGTGAGGTGTACCTATTATAATATATTGTCTCGTATTGTATTTATGCGAGTCCTGCAGGAGAATGATTATATTATGTAATAAATTGACGCAGGATTGGGCGGAGATATGTCAACCCGCCGTTGTTTTGCACTGGGCACCTATTTTAATTAATATTTTGGGTGAAAAAAAAATGGTATTTCGATAAAGGCCTGTTTTACTCTGACTTTGGGTTAATCCATTCTGCGCACCCATCTGCTCACCATGGCGTATATTACGTATATTATATATTGGCAGAAGAGGTGTATATTCTACCCTTTGTGTACCTAATACCAATTCTCAAAGCGTACCAATAGGTAATTAAATTGAGGGGGTGCCAATGGTGGTATTTTTGGTGCACTCCGATAATCGCCGGTATTCGGTACATCCTATTTGGGGGGAATACCGGTAATCGGTACACAGTGGTTTGGCAATTATATGCCTACCTCCGGTGTTACCGAAAAAACAGTACTAAAGTAATTATTTACCTACCGCGGAAAATCCCCGAATACATGTCCGTCCGCGACATAAAGCAATGATGTACCAGTCTTCGATGTATTCGGGAAATCTATTTTTGGTGTAGTATTTAAACCGCACACGGACATAAATAAAATACTCTTAGTCCATAGTCCTCCTTTGAAAACTATTAGTCCACTCTACTGCAGCAAAAAATGTTAGGAAATTCCGATCTAGAACAGTTTGTAGAACAAGGACCTTTTTTTTATTATTTTCCCCGGAAATAATTATACCGAGTATACCGGTAATAGGTATTTACACCGTAAACAAATATAATGTATACCATGGTATCAAAATTTGAAATACCGCCAGCCCTAGACCATACGGTACCTATAAAGCCGCATTCACGTGCGGTTACGCCGGATGCCGTGTCGTGCAAGGGCGTGGTAACTACGATATGGTTACAACTGGTAACCATATTGGTTTCAAATAGTCGAGCTGTAGTCAATTCTTGGTAGGCATGCAACTTGGTTATTACATGATACCAAAAAATGAATGTCCAATCACAGTGCGATTTGATCGACACGACGCGAGACATGGAGTACCTGTGAATCCGGCTTAACCGTATATATTATTACCTATTCTATTATTGTTTTAACCATATTATATCATTATTGTTATTACCGTGGTCTAATTTATTGGCCGGTCGGCGCGCGCTGTTCACAGGGGAACGTGGTGTGGAACAGGCAACGGCAGGAGAACAAAATGACCATGACGCTGATCGCCGTGGTGATCATGTTCTGCGTGTGCCAGACGCCCACGGCCGTGATGATGCTGACGGCGTCCGTGTACGAGCCGCCCGAGAAGACGCCCGCGTACTACGTGAACCGCGGCCTGCACACCATATTCAACTTCCTGATGGTGGTGAACGCCGCGTCCAACTTCATGCTGTACTGCGCCATGAGCCGCAAGTACCGGCGCACGCTCATGATCACGTTCATGCCGTTCCTGGCGGCCCGGCACGCGCGCAACGCCACGCTCCGGTCGTCGGTCAGCTACCCGCGGTCCGGCACCATGGTCCGGCGCAACACGGAGGTCACGCAAATGACCGACATAATCGGCGCCGCGGCCGCCGGCAAACGAGAACCGCTCATCCGGGCCGGCACCAACCACGGCCGGCACGCCGCCGCCGCCAACAACAAGCAGCAGCAGCAGCAGCAGCAGCAGCAGCTGACCGCCACGGCCGTTCTCTAAGCGCGCCGCGGCCGTATGGAGCCGGGTTCGCCGCTCGTCGCGGGGTCAGCAGTCGTGTCGTGTGGTTTTCGTCGTGTTCCCGGCGATCGGCAGTGGTGATCGTGCAGGTAACCGTGGTAATCGTCATGTGATATTACGATTACCAAACAACGGCGATCTACCGGGAAAATTCCAATGTCATGGGCAGAGCCCGATTTTTAGGACGACAGACGACTTAGGTGGCTGCAGCAGTGAACCCGGCTTCATTATACAACTGATGTCCCACTATTATATCTATAATACGATAATATAATGACATCCGTCCCACTATATATACAATTATTATAATTATTATTATTATTATTATTATTATTATTATTATCATCATCGTTAGGTACTATATTTTACTATTATATACATACACGAATCGCGACTGTGCACGAGATGTCTACGTGCAATGTTCAAGTGGCTATAATACATAATATTAATATGTTTTTATAGGCACCTGTCTATCGTCGACCCTTCACAAGGGCGCCCGCAGAAATATAAACCAGGCTAGGAGGGCCAAAGTCAAAAGTCTCTGATAATATGCAGCACATATTATTTATTTATTTTTACAAGTAATGCTGCAATTAATACCAACTAAAATATAGGGGGCATGGCCCCCGGCAACCCCCTGTAGGCGCCCTCGCACCTTCACTAATCGCAAATAATTGAGTAAAATGAACGCGATCTATGTCGAAAATGACCATACATAATCTCTCGGGCGGTCAGAAAGTGGGCCACATGTCACATATTATTAGGTATCTAAACCTATTTCATATACAAAATATTACCCGGGTATTGGATAGCAAAAATTATATAAAATGTTGAAAAGGTACCAACAAATGGACCATATATATAATATATATATATATATATATATATATCAATAACTTAATCAAAATAACTTAAATAAATTTAATGTAATATATAATAGTCACATATTATGTATTCATTCAACAAAGCCATGAAATCATTAAATCAATTAAAAATATATACCTATACGACAATATTATACTCAGTTTGCAGTTATATAAATTATAGTAATTATAATCAATAATAAGTCTAAAACAACTATTTTTTAAAATAATGAGATAAGTACAATTAAAAAGTAAAAACATATCATTGTCAGTACGGTTACGGTAGTGAGACAAAATATGACAATATACCTCTTGATACGCTCATAATAATATTATTATGTTCCTCGAAAACTATATGGAAGTTCATAAAAATAGTTAAGTCGTTGCCCAGTGCCCCCCCCCCCTTACTCGTGGGTGTTCTATTTGTATATATGTTCAAATATAGCGGCGCAGTTACTATATTGGTACTAGTTTTTGAAAAATGATTAATTGTGGCCCGATTCCCGAACGTCCAATCTCTCGTGTGTATATAAAAGTATAAAGCCCTTTTCATTCGGTTAGTTAAGTACCGGCTTACACATAGATCCAACCGTAACGGATACGATAAGAATTTTTCGAGGTTACGTCATGCCAAAAAAAAATCGATTTCGAAAACCCTCGTTACGTTTCGTTTTTGAAAATTATTTCCAAAACCGTGTACATATAATATAACATTTTGTACATAAATAGTGTGGTTTTTTCACACGAATCGAAGCACCACGCCGCACGGTGAAAAGTATATTTAGATGACGATTTACCACCATAGGTCCTGCAGTCAATACCGTAGCTAGGGGGGCTTAAGGGCATAAGCGCTTCCCCCCAAATATCAAACTTACTCTACCCGGTAGTACCATAGCAATTGCAATATAATATTGTAGCCCGCCTTAGGAAAAACAATCGTGGCTACGGCACTGGTATGCGCGTTACGATAATATTATATTCCAACACCACCTGTCTGCTGCCATCGATCAGTGGCATGTCTGAACGACTTTTAAACTTGAAACAAAACAAGTAATTAAGGACCTGTCTAAGGGTACCCGAAATACGGATTTGTATGTTTTATATATACATACATTTTTTTACAGCAAAATTCCGTCATGGTTATTGTATAATTTTTCGTATTTTCAACGTTTATCACACACCCACGCACCTGTCTTAGACTTGAGACGATTGCCTGCAAAGTACCCTCTTCGGCTCGCCACTGCATTCATGATAATATTATCAAGTCAGACCTCCAAAAAAACCACAGCGGCTGCGCACAAGGGAAACTCGTCGCACAAGCATGCCAGCTCTCGCGTCAGTCCATGGGTGCGAATCCCAAGGGGGCTCAGGGCTCAACCCCCCTGAAATTTTTATGGATTTCCGACTATGACCATCACCCATGAAATTCCGAATCAGTGTCGCTGCTGTGACCCAAATACTCAACGCGTTATGAAAACAATAAAATTAGGTAGATATACCTCTTTTTTTTTTTATAAAATTCGTATTTCCTAGTCGAAGGGGATGATTTTAGAACCATTAAAATCATTTCGAGTCGGAGCGGCTGCAGATTATAATTCACATTTTCGGTAGAGCAGTCACGTGCGAGTGTATCTATATCATTATAATATCCTTTTATCCGGCCGAAAGCGGCGCTGAACACGATTACTGCTGGCGCCAAAAGCAGTAATTATTATTAGCTAGAAGGTGTATAATATACATAATATTAGAGTGACGCAAATTACCATCTCCCGAGTTTTGAGCTGATGCAGGCCCACACACACATCGCCTATATATAACGTAAGTTTAAGGTTCGTTTTTACTCGTTACGATTACATTTTCTGTCTTGTTTTCTCATGCTTAGGTGCCTACATAGGCTACTTAGCCAATTAATACTATATAACTGTGTATATAATATATTATATTGAGTTTTGTTAGCACATGAAATGAACATATTACATATTATAAAGATCAACAGCGTGTGATAATCCTCGGGATATAGGATCCCACATATTTAATTCCCGTCAATGCACACCCTCCGACGAATTGTTAAGAAAAATTAAAATGTATCTTAAAATATTTAAAAGTATAGTACCTAAATATGGCTCTCGCGGCAATTGTCTGGTTTGCCGCGAACGAACATGGCGCGCGAGGCAGCCGCGCGTAGTCGATACTCACCTTTATGGCGCTTATATACAAGTTTAAAAGAGATATTTAAATGAGATGAAGTGTTACTCCCGCAGGCGTTTAATATCCAAATTAACTTATAAAAACAAGAGTCCGGTCGACGCAAATATAATACATATATTGTATTATACAGGGTTATTCAAAATGATACATCCGATGTACAATGCTTATATGTTTTTAGTTTTAAGGATAAGAGTAATATAATATGATACATTGTATAAAATAATAATAGTTCGCATTGATTTAATGATATGTGGTAAGTAGGTACTTATATTATTACTATTCTATGTAAGAATGTGGCTTACCTACCTTAGTCACACAAACAACATAATATAGTCGGAACTTTGAATTCCGGTGTTATACGATTGAGGTACTTTTTATATATTTGAGAAAACACAACACGAATGCGCACAACAAATATTTTATATTGTTGGATTACTCGGGGATTTAAAGAAATACCCAATTAATAATGTCACTAATGATTTACTTACACAACTAAAACTTGGTACCTACATACTACCTATACAATATAAAAATTAATATTGTCTTCAAACATAAATAAATAACATATAATCAAAGTAATAAAGTAATACCTAGATACCTACCTATACGTATAAAGTCAGAAATATTGATTCCACGTCCAACAAAACACAAATTAAAACATAAAATATGAAGTTCATAAAATTCCCAAATTTCCTAATGTCGGTAAATTCATAGTTACATAATAATAACATACAACATAAAGTCAAAAATTACATTCAATATTGAGCGCAATCGTGTTGTTTTTTTGTGGGTAAAGAGGCAAAAAGTGTGAAATAGTGTGATGCCCCTTAAATTAATTTAACACATATCCATCGGAATAGTCTCCGCTAATTTTTTAGCTTCTCTATGATTGATGATAAAGGTGGTACACTTGCCACACTGGTCACTGATGCAGTATTTTGATACGGTTCTCATCGGCAGTACCTTTTTGAATAATACGATTGCGAACTTTTTTACTTGCCAACTTTCAAGTAACGTCATTACATCGATATGTTACTGATCACACGATAGTAACAATAAATGATTAGTTTAACCACATGATAATAGTTTAGCACATCGTTAAAAGAAGTAGTCACAAGGCGTAAGATCAGATGAGTGAGATGACCTAGGAAACCAGGTGCAAAGCTTCGAATGATTCATTTTGAATAATCCTATACTATTTAGTATTTAAGCACTCGGGAGTCGTGGTGTTCATACATTTATTTGAATGGTTTTATTCATCGGATTTAGGTCAAAAATGTCGGAGAAAATGATTAGGTAGTAAAAAAAGTTCTAAAAAACGCTAAATCGTCAACTCCCCCATCTCCAAGCCATCGATATACAGAATTATAGAAAATAGATAATAGGAACAGATAATTTTTTTACTCATATCCGATGTATATTAATAACAACACCGAATAGGTAGGTAACTAAACACCGAACATTTTTGCAGGGAAAAATTGAGCCGATATAATAAAATTTTAAAAAAATTCACTCCTATACCTATTTAGTCCGATAAAACAATAAATTTATATTACAGCATTAATTATCTGCGTTTTTCACAGAATAATATTGTAATAACTTGGATATACGGCAGTCTCATTTGCCAAATATTAATATAGTATACAGGTACCTAAAAAATTAAAATGAGAATAATTACATATTATATTTTAGTGATTCTTCAAAATCAAGTAGACAATACAAATTCAAATACAATTAATAATAAATGATGTTCATGAGTTTCTCAAAATAAATTGAAATAATACATAATAATAGATATCTATTACCTATACCTATACCTATACGGACATTTCAAAATAACGTATTGCAATATATTTCCAGCTACAACGGGCATTGTGTGCGGTAAGTTGGGTATCGTAATACTATGCATAATCTATAAATCAGACGTCAATAAAAAAAAAAAAAACCGTTTAAGTACCTACCATACCTATTTACTTATATATGACGTTCATAATATCATATTTTCATTATTTTTATTATTACGCGCATAGTATATTATCATCGTTAATATTACATGTAGGTATTTAGATATAATACATAATATAGGTAGTTATAAATTGATATGGTTTGTGTTACTATTCGTTAAGCGGCCGTTCTAGGTATAAGTGTAAACATATAAATATATTATAGAACATATTATATATTATTAATTATTATTATTATCGTCGTAGTCTCTTTTTGACCCGCCACCACAATGTATAGGTACGTAAATGTAAATAAACTTTATTACTTCCCCTCGTTTAAAAACGATTATCGCGTGTGAATGTGTGCGTTTTTAAATATATACAAATACTGAAATACATAAATTTTACCCTCCTAAGGTCGACCAAAGCGCCGATTTGTCCTGCATGCATATTATACGCGTATTATATCGTGGTTTGCGGTCTCGTATTCATTATTACTATTATACTCTGTAGGTATATGTAGCGCGCGTCCACGTAGCAGTGTAGACTATTATATTATTATTACGGTTACCTCACCACTCTCATCCCTTATACAGACGTGCCCACCGACCCTTAAATTTATATTTCTCGGTTACTATAACGTAGTGGACAAAAAACGAAACCAAAAAAATCCTTCAGCCCCCCCCCCTTCCACCACCACCGCTGTAACCACTGTATATTATACGAGTTTCGATAATTCCTCTCGCCCTCGTCACGTTTAGTATACACTACGGTAGTTGTACCACACAATAACGAGTATAATAATTCTTTAATATTATCAACGTTGTCGTACTCGACCCAAAATAGTCGACTGGAGGAATGGCGTGCGCGTGAACTAGATTTTAATTTTAATATCTGGCAACAAAATCCGTACACGACAACGACGTTTTCCATTTGCCATTTACCGTTCGCTATTTTTACACACTCGACGCAAACGTTAAGTAGGTACCCATATACCGACTGGTCAGCGTGTAGGTACCTACAGCGAGCGATTTATTTCCGCCTCGACGCCGCACGTCACTCTCTTGGACTGTCGAAACCCGTCCAATTTAAAAGTTATAATAATACATCAATATATTATTATAATATTATGATATAATAAACGTCTAAGTTTATATTATGCTCCATCGTTACATTTTTGGGACGTGCTCTGACCAGTTATATTAAATAAATAATTATGATATATTATATTTCGTCCCGCCGTACTATTATAATACCTAATATATATTGTATACACTATTAGATCGTCATAAGTTATTGTAATTTATAAATATTATTATAATATAATATAAGCATATCCAAAAAATAACTTATTTCAAAAAATTAAATGTGAATGTTTTTTTTTTTTTTTTAATTATTATTATTATTGTTATAATTCGTCTTATAGATGTAGATATAATATTCAATATTACAATATATGTACCGACTAACTGACTTAGATATATAAGATATTATATAAGACAGAAAAATATTGTAGCGACGTTTTATTTTAATGTTACCTACCAACATAATAAATAATAATATAATCACCATGTATTCAGGTACTGAGGTACCTTAGTCCCTACTCCCTACTCCATATTAACTATATTAATATAGATGTGAGTCATGTCGACCATCCGCTATAATATAATATAATATAATAATTATTAATTATATATTATTATTAAACATTTATACCTACTGTACATTATTTTTACGATACCTACTTATGATATTGTGCATTTTTAGATGAATAAACGTTTAAATTATATAATGAATGAATAAATTCCAGTTTACGAAATATATCGGGGTGAACAGTTCATGACATTATTCTATAACTACTGTATCCGACAAACAACTGTACACAATCGTAAATCAACGTCAAGCTGCACGACGCCGTTTTAATGTGGACCATATTTTTAACGGTACTCTTCGCCGAAACGTTGTAACAAACACATTTGTCGTGTGGTTTCTCTACACACATGCATATTATACAGTGACCACAGTGAACTATCGCTTGGCACACGTTCGGACCGAATGTTATTTTTAGACGAATACTAGTGTAATATAGGAGCATAAAACGAAAAAAAAGTTTATTTTTTATTTTTATTGCCTATGGACAAAAAATAAATTGTAATAAAATTGGACGGACATGTAGCACTGTCACCTATAGTTGTATACATACATTACAATAAACATATTATAATAAAAAGTGATAATAATAATTAGGTGTAAGTATAATAAATTGTGTCTAATACTTTTCTTTTTTGTTATAGTTATTTATCAATTAGTTTGGAATGTCTATGGAATGTGTCCAATTGATATTTGTTAACCGAGGCCATGGTCTTCAAAAAAGGTTTGAGGTGTTTCTTCCTGAAAAATAAAGGAACAAATAATTATAAAAAGTAACGCATAAAATGTGAAGTTAGATAAAACAGGGTGCAAAAATAAATACGTAGAAAAGGATTTTCTAAACAAAACAATTAGTAAATAACTGAAGAGGTAATGGATAGGGCAATAGTTTTAATATATTATAAACACTGTGTGCTCTTAAAAACATACCGTAGCACCAAAATGTTTGCTGACATTTCTTGTAACACCATATTTATTGTATTAACATAAATTTAAATAACTATATTTAAATAAGAACAGAACTGTTAAAAAAAAACTAATTAACCCTCAAACCTTTCAACAAACACAACATCCATGTCATGATCGAACACACTTGTTGGTAAAAAAATAACTATTATCACTTAAAACCGAGTCAGTAAAAAGCGCATACAGCTTAAGCATGAAAATTTTATTTTTATTTTTTCAACATCATGTTAGTTAGTACATTAATAGAAGTTTATCTTATGAGAAAACGCAACAATATAAAAAAAATGTATTAGAATTAAAAAAAAAACTAATTAATAGAATACACGAATGTTTACAGATAATAAAGATGGGTTTTTCTTTTTAATATCATGTTAGGACGTCAATGATAGAAACCTGATATTTTGATAAGTTATTTATTAATAACATTGCATTCAGCAACAGCACTTTACATCAAAATCCAAGACTAACATTTTATGAAAGACACATTGTTTGAATTTATATAAATATATATGTAAAAAAAAAACATTACAATTATAATTGCAAGTAATACAATTATATGAAATATTAATTATATTGGATGCTCTCATAACAGGCCGATCTCTTTCAGAGCGCCTTCGACTGCCTCCTCCTACACACAAACACATTAATATTAATATCCCAAAATTGAAAAATTGAAAAATTGAAATTGAAAAGCATCTAATAACTGGAAGTCATGCAGGTATATATTATTTATGACAGAAATCAAGTAAGGTAATATGGATAGCTATTAAATTTTTTTTCAAAATTAAAGCTACAAAAATAAAATAATATAAGTTTACTATTTATTTATTCATATTAATCAATCAATCATAAAAAACAAAACAAAACAAACCCAATTGTACTACTAATAAACCCAAGGAATTCAAACAATGTTGGCTACTAAAATATACTTAAAATACTAAATACATGAACCCCGTTGTACTTAAATAATATATATATATATATTTTGATTAAATTATTTTTGAGGCTAAAGTGTAAATATATAAACACAAAAGAAAAACAGTTTAAATTATTAATTTTTAACATCATTTTTTAAAAATATAATATAATTGGTAAAAATGAACTTTAATTTTAAAATTATATAATTTTAAAATGTATGTAGAATAATATATAATAACCAAAAATAAAATGTGGCGTTAATCATATAATAGTAATACTAATAATAATTTTGTTTTTAATGAAAATTTATTAAGTTATATTTTATGTAAAACATTTTTATATTTAATTTAATAAAAAAAAAAAAAAAATAATAATAATAAACAATATCACAAAATATAAAGATTGGTTATCATTAACATAAAATGTGATGCTGAATAACATAAATATTAACTTATTTTGGTTTTCTTAATTACTAATACAACAGTTTTGAATTTTAAAAATGAATGTCAGAATAATTTTATATTAAAATTGCATTTCCTTCATATAAATAATATGAATATTGTAATGAACAATGATAGAACATGTTAGTATGATAATATTAACGATTAATATTTAAATATTGGACTAGATAGTTGTTACAATGAATTTTAGACAAGACATGCAACATTTGAATTAACTATAATTTTCTTTGGTTATAGGTACTTAGCAATTTAACTCTGTGATGTTAACTAAATGATGAAATTAATTATAGTAAAAGTATTTTTAATAAGAATATTACACATTTTTTTTTTTTACATTGTATGTAAATTATAATAATATAATTTTGAAAAAAAAAGTTAAATATGCTTACACTTAATTTCATAAATAAATAGGTGATTTAAAAGGAAATTATAGAAATGCATAAACGAGTGTATAAACAACATAATTTGTTTAAGAAGAAACTACACACATTTGTTTTGTTCTGTTTGACACATGTATAACATTTTTAAGTAATGTAGGTACCACATTTCCAATACGGTTTTGAAATTTTTATTATTAGAGTATAGTTATCTATTATCAGACTTAAAAAAAAAAATGATACATGCATTTTTTGATGGTATTCTTTGATGTTTTAATATAAAGCAATTTTTAAGTTTTTAGAAATTTTTTATTTTTATCTACTAAACCCTTTTTTCAAAACAAAAATTTCGGGAAATACAGTCAAGATTGCATGGGTAATGATGTTGTCTTTAAGTTAAATAATAGGTAAACTTATTATTATGTATAAAAATAAATGTATTGAAAATGACAAACATACATTTAGAACATGAAAGTAGAATTCTCTTAATAATTGAGAATAAAAATTAAAAATTACAGTTGAATAGATAACAACATTTTAAATTCTTAAAAGTTGATAGAAAACTAGTTAAGGTTGTCTTTGAAAAATTATTTAATATTTGTTACCTTAAATCAAATTAATGGAATTTCCCTTTTAGTAAATTTAATGATAAAAAAAATATACTTATATTTTATATTTTTTTTCAATTTCTTTCTTTATAAATTATAATATGATTACAATACATAAAATATTTAAATTTCACATGTTAATATGTTTTATTTAAAATTGACTGTACGGTTTAGACTGTTTGATTAATTTAACTGTTCAATGTTTTTTATTATTGAAGTAACATTAAATAACACTTTTATATTATTTATATCCATGTAAACAGTGGAGTTAATTGTTAATGTATGTTAATTGTATGTTTAATATTATAAAAGCAGAAGAAATAGCATTAATATAATTGTAATAAATTAAAAAAATTAATTTTAAAACAATTAGTTTACACATAGATATTCTCAATGTTAAAGAGTTAAATTGCTAACCATGGGAGATAAACAATTGAATACATAAACAAGCAACAATTTTAGTATGTTAAAATAGTTGGCTAAAAATATAACTAAAATAACAGCATTGGGTTATAACAATAAAAAAAAATATAGGATTAATGAGTTTAATAATAATGGTAAGATAAAGGTTTCTACAGAATATTATAATAAAATAAAAAGTATTAATTATTAGCAGCATAATAAAGGCATTATGGAAGGCAAGTTCTTAGGACAAATAAATACATTTTACAATATAGGTATACTTAAAATAATGTTCAACATGTTGTACTCTACAGGTTAATACAAAAATATAGATTCAATTATCTAAATAATAAATTTGGCCAAACATATTTCGGTAATTAAATAAATTGTATGTAGTTTAAATATTATAGCATATTTAAATTTGACTATCATTTTAGTTGACTAGACAGAACTTTATAAATATATTTATATTCTTCATAAGTATGCATAAAATTCTTAAACACATCAGTGTTCTACATGAAAATTTAACCCATAAAAGTTATAGATAATATGATGAATTTTACAGTTAAATAACAAATTATGATGGAATAATAATAGTTTTTAAATAATATGAGCAAATTAGTTTTATAGTGAATTGGCAAGATGTATCATTATTGTTTATATTATAGTCCTATTTTGTACCAATGTTAAATAAAATATGTACTATTTTTTGTCAAATGACAAAATAGACTTAAATAATTGTAAGTAATGAAATAATTTAAAGTTCTAATGGAGTATTTCCATAACTAACCTCTTGCAAGAGATCCTGAGCTGAAATAGCCTTGAGTACATTTTTCTTACTAGTCTCCTGTATTTCCCCACCCAATAACAACTCATCCAGTATAAAATATGCCTTTTCGAAGTTGAATATTATATCCAGCTCACAGACCTACAACAAAGTATTTTAGTATTATTGACATTAGGAAAATATTAATAAAAATAAATAGTACTATGAAACTTACACTGCCAAAATACTTGTCCAATAATTCAACATAGCGGTGAATGATTTCTAAAGTGAGAAGTTCATTGTCATTCTGTTCAATAGCACAACAAAAATACAGACTTGCGTACCTGAAAATAAATTTTAGAATAAAATATTTTCAGTTTTTCTTTTTCAACAACGTACCTTTTATATACGATTTTTAATTCTTTCCATTCAAGAAAACTACACATTTTAGGCTTCCTGGCTAAAATTGTGGTTATAAGTTCTCTGGTTATTTTCTTTTTCACTTTGTCGGGATGAGCTACATACCATTTTTGAAGCCGAAGCTTGCCTTGACGACTGAATAGTAACATGAAATGCATCTAAACAATAACATTAAAACATGATAGAATTACATAGAAAATTATATACATAGAACCTCAGAAATAGGTAATACATATTATTTTGTAAATGCACTTCTAATTGTAAGAATTTAAAGTATTGGATGTGATAACTAACAAATGCTTTAAATAATAAAAAATTATCTTTTAATAAATTATATTTCTAACTAATAATAGTCAACACACCGAAAATATTTTCTTGTCTACACAAACACTAGCTACGATAACATTGTTTTCGGTTTATGTTACCGATTATAACAAAATATCGATTATTTCATAAGGCACGATTGAATAAAACCGATTAAATATAAAATACGGAAAAGCTCAGTATCTATAATATGTACACATTAGAAAAAACAAATCATAGGTCAATTAATGTTAATGGGACTTCAATATCTAAGGTCAGAATGTCAAATTGTATCAACTATTTCTCACAACTAACAGTAGATCACACACATAACACGTCATCTCCTCAATACAAACACATGACTAAATAAGTTTATTAAGTCATGTACAGACGGGAGAATACGATCGCAGCGGCCCAGCCCCAGCGGAACAGCAGCGCAAACGAACGCGTTCGAGTGACATTATTTTAATCACACTCATCCGAATTATTGGACCGAACGCGATGGTTGTATATGATTTCTCAGGGGAAAGGCATAGAACGTGATATTTTTAAACGCATTGGGTATTTGTTGGTTTATTTAATCGTATCTCAGTATTTTATGGTTGAACCGAGGCGTACGCCTTACAATAATAATAATAACAATCTATTATCCACATAGTACAACAATTTATGATTTGTATTTATAAAGGTACGTGTCGCACGTGTACTCACCATATTGTTCCTCGTTGGACGCTATTAATCATTATTCGTTAATCATCATGTTTTGGTGAACGCATAGTTACTAGTCAGTACAAATGCGATAGTGCAAATGCAAAACGCGTCTAATTGCGGCCTAGTTGACTATAATTATTGTCGTCTTGTCAGATATCATATCAATTAATGCCGATATCGTTATAATCGTGTAGTTCGACGCTCACGATTGTTGAAAATATAAAATTATGCTGTAATCTGTTAATCCAGAATACGCCTTTTCTGTAGAAACTGAAAATTTGATAAAACAGCAATCGCCGCTCTAGCCATTATATTATTATTATTATTTTTATTATCAATTACGACGTGACATCGGGATTCGAGGGACTACAACACTAGTACACTACTACTTAATAGTATTGTCTATGAGAACACCATTGCATTATAGAGAACAATTATAATAATTATTGGGGAGTATGTACACTACTCACAGATATAATATGAGTTTTTACTCATTATAATTTATTATCCATTTATACTGTAACACTGTCTACTACTGAGGGCTGCTTCACGACCCACCAGTCACCACTCACCACCCACTTGACGGTGATCACCGATCACTATGCAACAGGCACGGACCATGTATCATAGTAATTTCCATATGACCATATCCATCATCGTAATGTTATTACTACATTGTCGTGTAAATTATTAGACTGGAGTAGTGACCAGTAGAGGAGACGGTGGACCATTGTAAAATTATATTTATCTATGTATTATACATATTGTGCATTCATTTCACTATGCAGTGGAGTGGTCGCATCTCACAAGTCACAAACTAGCCGAACAAAATAATAACAATACATAAAATATTATAATATAATATTCGAAGTTTTAACGTATATTCGACATTTGGTATCGGTGTCAGAGTCCGACGAATGATGATCGTCGAACAATAAAATTCTGGATTCCAAACCACCATTCATCGGCACTCGGATCCAGCAGCTAGACCACCAGTGCCCGTAGAATGCAACCGCTAACTGCTAAGGTCGACGGTCAACAATACTGTTTTATATAATTTATATAATATGTCTGAGATCGACGTGTCTAGTAAGTTACTAACAGAGTTACAGACTATGGCAGATAGACATGAGCGGATCAACACTCCAGCCCGTAGCTTGTAACGTGGCCAGTATACGACATACGTCTATTCTATATTTCTATTACGGAATACGGATTGTAGCTTGTTCAGCCCATGAAAATATAAAATACCGTCCGAAGGCGTCACTAATAATATTATCGTACGGACGCAGATCAGGACGCACATCCAAAACGGTCACACTGTCGGGGCAACAGTCTGCTATTTGGTATAAACCAAAGAGTTTATCTAAAGATATTAAACCGTGGTAAGAATATAAACAATTCTCCCACTCCACTCCAGTAGAAAAGCATGTCGGCTAAATAATAATGTAATATACATATATACAGAGTCACGTGAGTCAAGACGGCAAATGGCAGCCAAACACTAATTGTCCAAGCCTCCGACGGCCGACACCGGTTTCTTCATTTCTTGATTCTTTGACTTTTATTGTGTCTTGTGAGGTTGTGGTTGTGGTTGTTACTAATGATTTTTTGGAGTTAAACGTGGTTGTTTTGCGACATTCACACTTTTATTTTTCTTGGCTTCATTCGTGTATTTTGTACAGTGCTTGGTGATATTACAGCAAGCATATATATGTATATACTTACTGTATATCATTAAAATAGACGACACGGGAGACCCGACTACTACTGACTATTCTATAGATGGATGAATGGATGAACTGCCGAGCACTCTACGATGGACGTGTAATAGTGTCGTTGACATTCCGAGACCTAATGATCGATGCTGACAAGTGACAACGTCCATTGATCGAGTTCTTTTTCTAAGATCTAAGTTTCCGACTGCCTTGGGTTCGGATAACTGTCTACTGACAAAGCTAACTTGAACATCCGACTTGTGGAAATTGATCTTGTTGTTTGCACTTTTACATTAATTATTTTCGGTCATCTTTAACTGTACGTTTTAACAATGCATAAGTGTGTAGTGTGCAGTAATACATCTTCGAAGACCAGGTTCACTCGTCCTGAAGTGATGTATCATTCGTGAGTATCTATTGTTTTTAGAAATTCCCTCACTCTAACCGGTGTGAAAAAACACACCTGAATTTTTGATATGGTTCATTATCCCAATGTAGGGTAATATATATGGTATAATTTTTAACTTGTTTAGCCTAGTGAATTTCTACTTAGTATTAATTTTTTCCCTTAACACAGGCAATTAATATATTCTCTGATATTTTCTTTGGTATAGATTTCCTCATAATGCTTATAGAAGAAAGAAATGGCTCAAAGTATTTGGAATTGAACAATGTTTTGCATGGCACCGCGTTTGTAGTGACCATTTTGTAAAGAAACACTATAGGCCAGGAAAAAAGCGATTTTTGAGAAAAGATACAGTTCCCCTACCTCCTCCAGAGTAATGCTTCTTGATCTCTTAAATTAAATTTTTCATTTTCAATAATATTTAAATTTTTATATAGTTATACTACTCAAAGTACTGATGTCGAAACTGAAAATGATAATTTATTAGCAACGGATGTAAATCTTATAAGGTGAGTTAGTGCTTTTTTAGTGCATCTTGATCTCTGCAGTCAAATTTTTCATTTTCAATAATATTTCAATTTTTTTTTATTTATACTATTCAAAGTACTGATGTCGAAACTGGAAATGATAATTTATCTGCAAGGGATGAAAATCTTCTGAGGTGAGTAGTGATTCTTTAATGCATCTTAATCTCTACAGTTAAATTTTTCATTTTCAATAATATTAAAAATTTTATATAGTTGTACTACTGAAACTACTGATGTCGAAACTGGAAATGATAATTTATTAGCGAGGGATGAAAATCTTATATGGTGAGTTAGTGCTTCTTGATCTCTATAGTTGAATTTTTCATTTTCAATAATGTTTTAATTTTTATATAGTTATACTATTCAAAGTACTGATGCCGAAACTGGAAATGATAATTTATTAGCAAGTGATGAAAATCTTATAAGGTGAGTTAGCGCTTTTTGATCTCTGCAGTTAAATTTTTCGTTTTCAATAATATTTTAATTTTTATATAGTTATACTATTCAAAGTACTGATGCCGAAAATGGAAATGATAATTTATTAGCAAGGGATGAAAATCTTATAAGGTGAGTTAGCGCTTTTTGATCTCTACAGTTAAATTTTTCGTTTTCAATGATATTTTAATTTTTATATAGTTATACTATTCAAAGTACTGATGTCGAAACTGGAAATGATAATTTATCAGCAAGGGATGAAAATTGTATAAGGTGAGTTAGTGTTTCTTTAATGCATCTTGATCTCTCCAGTTAAATTTTTCATTTTCAATGATATTTTAATTTTTATATAGTTATACTATTCAAAGTACTGATGTCGAAAATGGAAATAATATTATATTAGCAAGAAATCAAAATCGTATAAGGTGAGTTGGTGACTTGTATTAGACAAATTTTTGTTTTTTTCAATTATTTGGAGACTAAGAAATTAGCTTATTGTGTTGAAAGTGATGATATAGAATCAACATTTTACAGAGAGGGACAAAGTGCTGTTGTAAATAACTTTGAATCACCAAGGCGGTCATGTAGAAAAATTAAGCTTACTACAACTAATGAGGATATGAGTTATGAAAATATGCCGAGACTCCAAACAGAACGATTTGAGAGACCATGTCCTACCTTGGTTGCTAATGACAATGTTCAACCTGTCACTGAAAATGTTGAAGTACCAACGTTAACAACTACTAAGGTAAAAATAATGTATTAAAGTCTAATAGTCAGATTTTTTTTAAGTACTAAAATTAATTAAAAATATTTTTAAGGCCACCAGTGTAGCTTATTTGTAAAATATTGCTTAAGTACAAATGAGTTGCAGCTATTTTGAATACGTACTTCAAAGTTCAATGATATTTATAACTTATTATTTATTAGTGTGTTAAAATTGATATAAGTCCCAGTTTGGCCAGAGGTGTATCAATTTTGAATAATGTTTTTATCCCAGCATTAAATTTTTATATTTTGTGCCTCATTAATTTTTAAAAAATTATTTTGCTTTGATAAATAATAAGATAATCAAGTTGATTGTCTGTCTAAATATATTTTTAATTAATATAATATTAAAATGTTCATAATAAATTGTGTGAGTGTCTTGTACAACTGTATTGAAATTATTTTGTTTGGGCTCATTTAAAATATTTAATTGATACTTACTCTAACTCCATAATGATAAGTTATACTGCAGCTCAATACATGACAGTTAGTATTAATATAACCTTATTTTTAATAAACACTAAGTCGATGCTGGACTTTGAGTTCTTGTTTACTCAAGTGTACAAGTGACACACAAAACTTAAACCATAATTAGATTAAATTTTTAAATAGTAATTTGCTTCTTTATTTATTATATACAATATTAATATTACCACACAAAATATGTTTTTTATCAGAACTATCATATGTAAAATAATCATCTATAATAAAAAAAAGTTTAGAATCAATATTAGATCGCTTATAAATAGTAGTTATAAAATATGTAGCTACCTTAATAAGGAATAAAAATTAGATTACAACCAAATATTACATTTTTCGTCAAACTAAGATGTACATACATTACTACCAAGAATCGACTGACCATCTAATTTATTTTGAATGCATAGAGAATTAATTAAAAAATATCTCATGTTTGTGTCAGCACACTATTTGTTTTCTCCCTCTGGCCACACACAACATAGATTAAACAGATTTACGTAGAATTATTTTTTTTATGTAGGTATTTGAGTAGAATCACCCATAATAAAATAATCTAAATAATATTGTTGATAGTATGATCATAGATATGTACAACAACTATACTCTGTCTAGTGAGAGAACATGCTGCGCACTGACCAAATCTGGTTCACTCGCGTGACACGGAGGGATGCTCAAAACTGCCTTGTTCTCTCGCTGGCAAAGTAAAGATAGCCCTCTACATCTTATTTTATTATTAATGTAAGCCGCCGATTACAAAATAATGTTATCATGTACATATTATGTATATGAATAAATGTTAAATAAATGTAAGCATTGCCTGCTTTATTAGTGGTGGCTGACTTAAACACCGGTCACAACTTCAGTATAAAGACAGCAATCTATCTGTTGTACATACCTATGGGTGTGACTATCAATTTGTCTAAAAATTGTCCCTAGACAATTTAAACATCATTAAAATTCTTCAAGTAAAATAATAATAATGACTCATAAAGTCATAACATTCTTTTATGTATAAATTGCTCAAAAAGAGAAAAAATATTTTTTAAATGTAATCATGTGCAGAAAATGATAATGTAAAGTTTGTTGAGAATTTCATGTTTCTAGGGTTTATTATTTCTCAATTATAAGTACCATTAAAACAATCAATTTTGTGAAAAACTGATTTTATATAAAAAAAAATTTGATTTTCCTTAAATTTTTTTTCTTCGACGTTTATGAAAATTGCTGGGAATTTTTCTCTCCTATGTATCAACTAGATTCACTCTCCTACCAAAAAAGATTCTGAAGTTGAAAATTGAAGCTTTATTTCAATGTCTTAGGGTGTCAACAGACAATTAAATAAATAAAATCACATTTCTTTGTAAAACTAATACATCTTTCCTTTCAGAATCGAAAATTTAACTATTTTTCATAAATCATAAATAATAATAGGTAATTCAAAATAAAACCATGTGAAGGTATCAATACCAAACATTCCTCAGGACTTCAATATAGGCATTTTTTGTGTGTGTGTGCATGTGGTCAGTAACCAGAAACTTGCAATAATTGGTTATTGAGTACCAATTTTAAAAATTGTTTCACCTATACAAAACTAAAAATGCAAGAAAAATAATAATAATTAAAATTGAATATAGTTTTAGACTTATATTTTATAATATGACTGTTAAAAATCTTAAATGGAGATTAAGATGAGGTAATACCACTAGAATTTGTCACTGGAAATTTTGAGCATCACTATACCAGTTATTAAATGACAGATCGAACACAAATTTTGAATCGTATAAAGTCTATTATAAAGTTATTATTTTTAATGGTCAACGTTAAATGAGGTCAACTAATTTACTATAAAAACAATTTTTTTTTTCGGTACTTATCGGTTATCGCTACTACCCTTAAAATTTAAAAAAAAAACTATTATAAAAATGGAAAACTGTAACCAAATAACTATCCAAATGTTGACGAGCAGTGCCTCTGTTTTTTGTTGCGCCATTTAGAGGATCCCCATAACCTTTTGATATTCTGTGTGTGAGCACCAGTTTCAGGATCCACAAAATTATAAGTGTGGTTAACGGTTAAATGCTGAAATCCAGCATTCTGTAGTTCATTTGTTTTATAACCACACCAACAATCAGAATAAATAGTTGTACCTTAGTTTATAATTTTATCTTATCTTTTATTGCTTGTATCAGTGTAGACACAGACAGATCTTTGACTTCAACTAAAAAACATTCCGTCGTTTCCCGACAAATGCCTTCAAAAATCCATTTTTAAGGTAAAACTCTACCAGCATTATTTTTACGTCTTGTAAAAAGACTTGACGATTTCTACTATTTTTCCTGGGCCACCAATTTCAAGTTACCACTTTTTAGGCTTAAAACACATATTTCTCGCAAATAATAAATCCAGTCCACAGTAGTATCATAACACATATTTAACTGTGTTTGATACCATTTTCCAACAGTAATGATAGCCAAATAGAAGAAGTATACGAACAAATAGAGAAAGCTATTGATACAATCAAAGGAGAAGAAAATCTGATCATCATGGGAGACTGGAACGCAATAGTAGGAGAAGTAAAAGGAGAAAGAAATATTATGGGAAAATATGGTCTGGGAAAAAGGAATGATCGGGGAGATAGACTGGTGGAATTTTGTGCAAAACATGATCTGATAATAACGAACACATGTTTCGATCATCACCCAAGGAGAAGGTACACATGGAAAATGCCAGGAGATGTGGGAAGGTATCAAATTAATTTCATCATGGTAAAAAATAGATTTAAAAACCAAGTCAAAGATAGTCGGAGTTATCCTGGTGCGGATATAGACAGTGACCACAATTTGGTCATGATGAAATGCAATCTAAATTTTAAAAAAATTAAAAGGAGAGGAAACACCAATCGATGGCAAATTAGTAAACTAAAGGAAGGAAAAGTAAATGAAAAGTTTAAAGAATACACAAATAAAATAAAAACACAAGAAGAACAGGACATTAACACCAGGTGGACTTCCTTGAGAGAAACAACTACAAATGCAGCAACTGAGATAATGAAAGTAACAAAAAGCACATTACCGAGGAAAGAATGGATAACACCAGAGATTATTGAAATGATAGAAGAGAGAAGAAAGTATAAAAACTTAAACACTGATGAATATCAAAAGAGATACAGGACTTTAAGAAACTTGATCATAAGAAAATCAAAAGCAGCAAAAGAAAAATATCTAGAAGGAAAGTGCGAGGAAATAGACATTTTGATGCGAATGGGCAAGATAGAGGAAGCATATAAAACAGTAAAAAGGTTCTTCGGAGTACGTACACTCAAAAGTGGAGCAATAGAAAATAAAGAAGGAGAGATAATTTATGAACAGGAACAGGTTGTAGATAGATGGAAAGAATACATAGAAGCACTATACAAAGAAGAAGAACTGTTTGATACAGACTTAGAAAAGATAAACGACAATGAGCAAGATGAAGAATATGTAGAATATCCAGTATTAAGAGAAGAATTTGACAAAGCACTAAGAGACTTAAAACCAAAGAAAGCACCGGGAATAGATGGGATCCAGGCCGAACTTTGGAAGGAAGCAGGAGAAAATATGCTGAATGAATTATTTAAACTCATTAGAGATATTTATAGAACGGCGGATATACCTACCGACTTTGTAAAGAGTGTAATTATTCCCATACCAAAAAAGACATCAGCTATAAAATGTGAACAATATCGTACCATTAGCTTACTATCGCACGCCTCAAAGATTCTAACAAAAATTATGTATAAAAGAATGGAAAGGAAAATAGAAGACACATTATCAGAGGACCAATTTGGATTTAGAAAAAATATGGGCACGAGGGAAGCGATATTGGCTTTAAGATTAATAGTGGAGAAAAGAATAAGGAAAGATAAGTCAACGTTTATTGCCTTTGTTGATATTGAGAAAGCATTCGACAACGTTAACTGGGAAATAATGTTTAAAATTATGAAAAGAGCAGGAATTGCAACAAAGGAAAGAAAATTGCTCTACCAACTGTATAAAAATGAAATAGCAATTATAAAAATAGGTGATATTCAAAAAGAGTCCAAAATAAAGAAAGGTGTTAGACAGGGATGTACATTATCACCTTTAATATTTAATGCCTATATACAAGAGGCCATAGATATCATAAGAGAGAGAATACAACTAGGAATAAAGGTAAACGGTTACAGAATAGACATGTTGAGATTCGCAGACGATATTGCAATAATAGCGGAGAACGAAAAAGATCTAAAAACACTTTTAGAAACATTGGAACAGGTGATGGAAAAAGATTTACATATGAAAATAAACACAAAGAAAACGAAAGTACTCGTATGTAGTAGATACAACAGCATAAGAACAAGTATAAAATTAAAGGATGGTGAAAATATTGAACAAGTAGAAGACTTCATGTATTTAGGCAGCACTATAAGCTCAGATGGGAGATGCAAAAAAGAAATTATAAAAAGAATATGCCAAGCTAAAGTGGCATTTAATAAGAAAAGAAATATTTTTACTTCAAAAAGCATTGACCTCAATATCAGGAAGAATCTGCTAAAAACGTACATCTGGAGCATTATGTTATATGGATGTGAAACATGGACTATTGCAAGAGAAGAAATGAGAAGAATAGAGGCGTTCGAAATGTGGTGTTACAGGAGGATGCAAAAGATAAGTTGGACTGATAGAATCACTAATGAAGAAGTTTTAGAAAAGGTATCGGAGAGGAAATCAATGTGGAAGAGTATACAGAAAAGACGAAACGAATTAATAGGTCATATTTTAAGACATGATGGGCTGCTATTACTAATCTTAGAAGGTGTAATCGACGGAAAAAACCATAGGGGAAGACCAAGATTGCAATACATAAGCCAGATAATGGAAGATCAAGGGTGTAACTCATACCAAGAATTGAAGAGAAAAGCTAGTGATAGAGAAGCATGGAAATTGCTGCAAACCAATCATTAGATTGAATACTGCAGAGAGAGAGAGAGAGAGAGATACCATTTTAAAGAATTCATTTCTTCTGCCCAACAGTATATAAATCGTAAAGCGCATACAAATGAAATGCGACTGCCAACAAACCAATTACCGACACGCATGTTTACCTTCTTTTGGCACGATTTAATATTGCATTTTCAAAATATTTGTTTTCCAAAGTACAATTTAGCTTCGTGACCAGACCCACATTTTCTTCTTTTAGGTAAAACACCATGTTCTTGTATAAAAGCCCCAGTATCTTTTTTGTTCGATGGTAAATCCCAGATTTGCATTGTAATAATATGACACGACACACAACTGCGTTAGAAAATAGCAAGTAAAAGGTCATATTACTTGTCTACGAAAAATCCCCACAGCAATGCTAATAATAACCACCATTCAATAAGTCTCGCTAGGTAGGCGCGAAAACCGATAAGTACCATTTTTTCAATATAAAATCATTTAGAGAAGTAAATTGTCCTTTGTATGAAAATGTAATACTGAGTGAAATAATTTATTAAATGTAAACTTATGTGGCACCATTGGCACTCCTATAAATTTACCGTCCTCGGCATGTTAATCCAGCTCTGGTAATGATAGTATTATGATTCTATGTTATTTACAACCAGTATTCCATAGTTCATTATTTTGGTTACATACACATAAAAAGAACCATAGGTTCTAGTTTCTACACAAAATATAATTTATGTTTCTATAGTCTATAGCAGCAGTTCCCAACCTTTTTTGCTTTGTGGACCACTAATTTTGTAAAAAAAAAAGCTAAGGGGCCCACAAATAATAGCTCACCTATATGAACGTCAGTTGTTAGAACTAAGAAGAATTAAAAAATCAATTGTTTATTAAGAAAAACACTTAATTAAACTTAATCACAAATTAAACAATTTAATGTGATTTTTAATATAACTTGTCCTTCATGAGTCAATATCGGTATGAAAATTGTCATGGTTTTAGAAACACTTTCAACATTCAGTTTATTCCTATATTTAGCGCTAATTTTATGCTAATTAGTAATTTGACAATACAGAGTGTAGATAATATTGTTAAATATTATTAGGTACGAGTATATACTAAAAATATACAATAATATTATTTTAAATATTATATATTTATACGGTTCACTACCTAGTACTACACTGCTCGAGGCCCACTAGACTATTCTAAATATTCATAGATTATAAACTATACAAACTAGGTTGATTGAATGGTTATATCACTAAAATATGAATTCACCTCATATTTTATTTTTATTTGTACTTCGTTAGGTTAGGCCTGGCCTATGAATTTATAATAATAAAAATAATAATTGTTAATAAACCCTAGCTATTTCTAATATTAATATTTTTTTTTTTAATTAATTATATGTTTAAATTTTAAAGGATTACACTTTGGGACATGGAGCACTATGTTCCGTTAAATATTGCTACAACAGGTATTCAAAAGATTTAAGTTTTTTCGGCTACCCTAGTGATGACTCTCAAAGAAAGGTGTGGATAGAAAAATGTAGATTGGAAGTAGATCCTACTCAAAAAATAAAACCTGGTGTGAGAGTCTGTCGCGCTCATTTTGAAGATCATTGTTTCATGAATCCTGAAAGAAAAAACAGATTAAGGCCTAATGCTGTCCCAACGTTATTTTTAGACGGAGGTGAGAAACAAATGAATAATTTGTTATTTTATTTTGTAAACATTTTTTTGGTTATTAATTGGTTTACTATTAATATAGTTTAAGTAAGTACAAAGTTTTATTTTTTATAAAATGTAATAATCTTTAAACTTTTTTTAGAAAGGAAATAATATTTTAAACTTCTTGTGCTTTAATAGAACAAAAAAAGGTTCTTTTATGTATGTATATAGATCATAGTTTTACTCAATATCAAATATATATTATAATAATTACCATAATAGTACTTAATTAATATTATAATAGTTAATATTTTTAAATATTACGAAGTTGTCCACATTAAACTGTTAAGCTGCATAAAGCCAAAAACTATAGGTAATATAATAATTAATTATTATTAAATGTAAAAACCTAAAAATTCTCTCTCTATTTAAATGAACCTTATTCAGATAAGAAGAAAAATCTTAAGACAAAGAAATACTTTTACACACTTTTATAAGTCACTTGTACCCCAAAAAAACACTAAGCTCTCACTTTTTGGTATTCCTGTTAATAAGTGACACATATCTTGAAAATTAAAAATCTTATTATTAACTGATTGATAACTGCCAGATATATTGTAGACCTTGTTACTTGTTACTTGTTACTAGTCAACTAGTAAGGATACTACTCTTATACTAGTAATTTTTTTTCATAGTTAAATATGAGGACCCGATTTTTAGATATAAATGTACAAGGTGATTAAGCATGTTCACCCTATTTTATGCTTCAATCATGCATTTCAATATGACTTTTTGAATTTTCAAATACATTTTAATAAAATATTTTTCAAATAGGAACCTCTCTCTTTCATTTTTAATTCTTAAACTGATATTATTTTTGAGAACCATTATGTAACAAAACTAAATCAAGTAGTTTTTGAGTCAAAGAACTGTGTATTAAGGATAATAAGACTAAGGTAATAGGTTAAGAAGAGTTTATAGGAGCTTAAATGATTCATGTATACTGCATTTAATTTTACATATACAGTGAAAACTCTTTGTAACGAAACTCAATATGTAACATAAACACTACATAATAATGGTTGTTTGGTTTACAACATATTAGTCAATTCATTATCTAAAACGTATTATGGTAATAAGAAAATCAAAAAACCCCTGGAGTTTCAAAAATATTTACCGGTTGCCAGTCACTTATAAAGCAAATAAGTCAGTGTGAATGACATCATTGCTTTTTGAAGAAGAAATAAGAAAGTAGGATGCAGAATTAAAGGGACAAAAAATGTTGTTACTCGTGGATAATTTTCCTGCTCATCCCATTCTTATGAACATAGAAATGACATTTTTAAGGATTATTATTAGAACCTGGATTTATATGCAATTATATTCATAATGTTGTACATTATAAAATGTGATTTTTTAAAAAATAAATACATTTTTACGCCAAGGAAAGTACTAGATATTCTATCAAAAACAAAAAAATAATTAAAATTGTAATACTTTAAAAATCAAAATGAATTATTTTATAATCTCCATTTATAGAGTATTATTATTAATATTTTTATGTATAATATAACTGATTTTTTAAACTTTTTTTTAGAAAACCAATACGTACTTAGTTTCACCAAACAAGGTGAAACATCCCATACATTTTCTCATGTAACTATGATTTTTACTGTTCTAAAGTCACGCCGTGTTTTTAAAGATAATATTTATGTAGCATATTAAATACTGTTATTAACTAGTTATAATCTTATTGTAATCTCAGTATCAGAATTGTGTTCTTAATGATAATGATCTATTGTAATTTATTATTTATTACTCTACTATTGTTCTAATATGATTGAGGGTACTTCCCCGTTTATTAATAATAATAAAATATGTAAAATCAAATTTGGTATTTGAATTCTGTATGATATGAACTGTAGACATTTCAAACCCCCATCGACATACATACACTAAATACAAACATGCAAATGCATATAATTCCGAGCTCTAACTATTATCCTTAGTATATACATTTTAATAACTCAGAAACTCATTTTGATTTAGATACATAAACATTTTTAAAAATATCATACACTAAATAATGAACAGGGAGAGGGTCTCACTTGAGTTTTGGAAATTTAAAAATATGATCTTTAGGTGGAAAACTTAAAAATTCTAATAATCAGAATTTGAATAAAAGCACTATTAAAGGGAGATGTGGTGGGAGGGGGGCTTGGTTGAGCATGATTGCAAAATCACCTCGTTTATACCTAACTTGTATAATTATAATATTAAATAATATATTGGTACATATATATATATACCTAAAAAACCTTATTTTTCAGTTCCTTTTATTAAATATGTTAAACTATTTTGGTCTTAAACCATATTGAATCATATTGCCTTATACTGAGTTTATAACTATAAAAAAATTGAAATAATATTGGTTCAATTTCTTAAATATGATGTACTTTTTCAACAGAAAACATAGAAGCAAAAAATAGACCTAAAAGAGGCCAGCGTTTAAAGAAACAATCACCTGTCCAAAATAAGTATGTCCGTACGAATGCGAATAGACCATCTTGCTCAGCTTCAAATTATGTTGCAAAAATAGGCTCTACCGAGACTCCATTATTGGTTTATATTGACTCAACTATTCGCCGTACTGAGGTTTGAATTATAACTAATTATTCATTAATAATATTATATTTAGTTGTAAGAATAATATTTTTTTATTTTCTTCTTAGTTGTCTTTTCTTTTACTAGCTTTAAAGGCCATTGGAGGCCCATGATTGCATAACAAATTTACTTCCATTTATCTCTATCTTGAGCTACTTTGTTTAAGTAGTCACTCCTAGTTGTCTTTTGTCTTATTAACCTGGCTACAAAAATTAATAAAAACTTTAACAGGAACAGTCTAATTAACCTGTATTGCATTAGTTATTGTTGTTTTTAGATACTGAGCAGAGCAATGAACATATTGGTTCTATAAAAATATAGTTTTTATACGTCTTGTTTCTGTGCAAAATTATGTCAAATTTATTACAAAAACCCACATATTATACTGTGATTATTAAAAATACTTAAATACCTAAAAAATACATTCTTGAATATATTTATATTTTACTAATACAATCATTTTTCAAAATATTTAGATTACTTTAATAAATTAATGTAAGACGATAGACCTTCTCCACTCAAAATGGTATTTTGTATGCAAGTTTTATCATTGAATTCAAATTTAACACATACATTGCAATGACCTACTGAATGTCAATGTACACTTAACATCTACAGCAGAGCAACTTCCCATTATTAGATTCTGAGCAAACTGATAAATGTATTGATTTTACAATGATGTTTTTTTTTTTTTTATCACTTTTTGGGACATTAAATAACGTTTAAACATTTTAAAAACCTTGAAATTAACATTTACACCTGTAAATTCCTTAACTAACTTATTCTGTATTTATTATTATTATTATTTTTTTGTTATTCAAAAAATAATAACCATAAGTACTTGAAATTGTATACAAAATGTTTATTTTATACAATTGTTAAAATATTTTGACTCGTTTTGAGTTATTTATAGACATTTGAAATTACAAATGTTATATGTTTGGTCAAAAAGCTTGAACATTTAATATAAGGTTCCTCATAAGTAATTAATAATAGCAGTTGAGAAATTTTAAAGCTCTAGTCACAATTTTTTGAAATAATTATTAAATGTTCGAATTTCATAAAAATCACGAAAATATTGAAATTATTTTGTAGTTAAAAAATTATGTAATGTTCAACTTTTATAGCCAAAAATTGCAAATTTAAAATAAAGATTTCCATAAATAATTTATGCTATAGTCATAAAATATATAAACATAGTTATTTTTTACAGATATTTTAAGTTCAATCAAATTAACACGTACATTACAGTAACTGTAGTCACAGGCTAGGTTAGGTTACTATTAATAGTAATTAATATAGTGATCAATGTTTGTATAGTAAACTGTAGTATGGATTAGGAATAGTCATTAAATTCAAATATTTTAAATTAATATAGTAAATAATAATAGTAATAATCATTATTATATTTTTAAATGTATATTTTTATTTTGTAATAAATGTTTAATAATGTTATATTACATTATACATTTAATAGAATATTTTGTATGGACTTTTAGACTTTTTGTCCGACAAAAAAATGAATCCGGAGTTTCTCGCCTATTATCATTGTGAACAGAATTTTAGTTTTAGTTCTTTTTGGTTATTAATTTGTTATTTTAATATTACTTGATGTTTATAAATACATAAATGTAATTTATTTTATTCTATACATTTTAGGATTTTGAAGCTTGCTGTTGTGTAACAGGATGCATAACGAATTCTATTGATGAGGTTGAAGATATTTCTCTTTTTGCACCACCCAAAGTAATTTTTATAATCATTCATAAACATATTTTTTTAAATTTTTGACGTCTGCTCATTGTAGTTTTTACTGTTTATTTTATAGGAACTTGTTAATGCTTGGAGTTCAGCTTTAGGTTTGCCGTTGACTGAAAACAATATTTTATGTGAAAGACATTTCAGACCAGAAGACATACTTCGTCCTACATTATTGGTAGATGGTTTTGATAGACAATTAAGATCACTAATACCTTCTGCTTTGCCGATACCATTGAATGCTGTACAATTAGCATCTGCTGGTATGCCATTAGATGCTATGCAATCTGCATCTTATGCTATGCAATCAGCATCGTATGCTACACCATTAGATGCTATGCAATCAACATCTAATGCTACACCATTAGATGCTATGCAATCAACATCTAATGCTACACCATTAGAAACCAACGATGTGCCTGTATTGAGAACTTACCCAGGTCGTTTCAAAAGACCCAAAGCTGATGAACAGTCGTCAGCAAAAAAACACAAAATCGATTTACCAGGTATATAAAATATTCTTACAAAAATTAGTTTAAATTTATCTAATAAGTCATCCAAAAACTATTTTCATTGTTATTAAAAATATATATATTAATTTTTTCGTACTTTTAATTATATTTCAATCTTTTACAGATAAATCCAAAGCTGCTACCGATAAAATGTATTTTTCTAAAAATGAAATTAAACCGTATACTACTGTTACAAATGACACACCTCGTGACAATTCAACTTGTGATTTAGATGAAAAATCAGAATCAAATTCTGTGATACCTGTTGATTTGTCAATAGTTAAAGTTGAGCCATATGATGATGATACTGATATTCAAACAAATTTAGAAACAGAAACCAATCAGATACTTCCAACAATAAAACCGGAACCAGAAGCAGTTGAAAATAATGATTTACTTCCACTATCTTCAATTGATGATTCTTTATCAATTTCATTAAAAAAACTAAAGAAAATATCATCTAATAGTTCATTGTCCATTACTTTGGAACCAATTGACAATACAAAAATAACAGAACCATCAGTCAATTTAGTATCAAAAATGTCTGCTAAAAGTTCTATGTCTATTACATTGCAACCAAAACTACTCAATAACCTCTCCTCAACCACACATAATAGTTCCCCATCTGTTAGTTTAATAAATATTCTTCCATCCGCTTCAAATAGTTCTGTATATAATAAATCACAACAAAGTCCATTACAGTATAAACCAGAAGCAATGTCAACCTCAAAAATGCCACATAAATTGTCTTCTAATACTGTACTTCATCCAGAAATCATTGACGAATCAGTATTATTTTTAAAACCTACCCCTAACACAAATATATCTAATTTATCTGAAATGCCTAAAATACAGACTCCAATAATTTCAAAATGTATTTCATTAGCAGGAAAATCCCATGCTCATTCTAATTCAGATTCTAGTAAAAATAACTCAGAAGTTATAGTAATTGATGATGATGATCATGAAGCTTTTATACAGGAAGATAATGGATTTATCTATGAAATTTCAAAAATTGTATCTTTCCCTACTTCATTTTGGAAGACTGAACATAATAAATCACGAAATTCAACACATTTTTGTCAACTAGACAATTTTTATAAAATTATAAAAAAAATTGATTTTAATAATAGCCTTTTGCCCACTATACATATATTTGGAAAGAAATATGAATATAACAAGCCTATTAAAACAAGGAATGAATTACACAATCTTATTGAAAAGATTAATGGTATTGTTAAATGTGATGGTTTTGTAAAATTTGCCAACGACGATTGTATAGGTTTTTATGAAGGAAATTTAAAAGATGTTCCTTTGTGTTCTTCCTGTCAAAAGAAATATGAAGAGTTAACCAAAGCTCAGGGATCTCAAACCAAAACCATAAGAAGTCGTGTACGGAAAGTGAGTTTACTCTTGGTTTCTAATTACTAACTTATTATTTCTAAAACTTTAAATATTTAAATGTTTTTTTTACGTAGTTTTAAGTAATTAAAAAACATCTTTTAACAAAAGAATATATTATTTACCATTTTTTAAATTGTTAACTTTTTATTGGCAGTATACATTTTTAGTTCCATATTCTAAAGCAAAATGTTTTTTGGAGTACTTAGATATATTAAAATCAAATTTTAATATAAAGAGTAGCTTATGAATTTAAATGTTTCAAAATGTAATTAATGTAAGTGGAGTAGTAGAGGAATACCCTGTAAAATGTTGGTCCACTACTCTGTTCATCTTAACTTTAAATACTTAGAATTTATAATGAACAAATGAACAAACTACTGGTTTAAAATTTAATTTTTATAAATTGTTATATTCCAAACAATATTATGCCTTATATGCCCCAATATGCTTTGGAATGTGGAATTAAAAATACATGTTTTAATTCAAAAGAGTGAAAAAACTTAAAATGCCTAATGGTACAAATATATAATACTAACAGTAAAAAATATTTATTGTTTTAACAACTCAGTAAAATTATGTAAATTCATTATTTTTGAAAATGTTTGTTTCTTGAAAGAATGAGTATCTTACATTAAATGGATAACTCTGTTTATTAGTGGCTTATTGAGAACCCCTCACCCACATGTGTTGTCTCTGTCTTATAAAATATGTAACATACCAAATTTTTATGCTCAGCAGATCACGTTTAAACCTTTAGCTCCTTGAGTTTAAAAAATAGAATGAATTGGTCTATATGAAACTTATGGCAATAACATTATCTATGTTTTTGGTACGTGGTTTTTGTTTTTGTTCAATTTTTTAGCAACTTTTGCGTAAATTAAAAATATTCATAACTCACTTAAAAATTGAACTTTCATAAACAACCAATTTATGAATATAAATTATGTTCTTACCATCCAATTTCATAATAGTTTGACGTACTCTAATCTTTAAACTAACAGCTAAACGTGATCTGATGAGCTTAAATTTGGTATGTTATGCAGTTGTAAGACCGAAAGAACACATGCGGATGGGACATCCTCTTAAAATAGTTTATTATTTTATAGGTCTCTGAAAAGTCAGCAGATTTGTTAAGACTTAAAGTATATGATGAAAAAAATAGAAGTCCTTGCCCTAAAGAAGACTTCACATCTCTTATTAATTTTATGGTGCCACGGCATTAATTGTATATATTTATTGTATTTTCTTATTTTTAAATGTATTTATTTGACATTATTTTGTATTTAATTAAAAAACTAATTATAAACAATTCACACTATTCTCACTTTTTGAATAAATGTAAGAATCATGTTGTAATATTTATATTTGGTATCCTATATTGTAAAACAGAATCAAAATTTGAATTGCTAAATGTCTTCTATTAGTTATTTGTTTATTAAAAGTGTTAATACTCCAAAAATGTAAATAGTACTATAATAGTTATTAATTATACATTGTGGATCTTTTTTTTTTATTATTATTTATTTAATAAAATAAGACATTCCTAGCCGTCGCGGGCTATCTATATCTATGGATAATAAGACAATATAAGTTTGTAGCTATTTTAAAAGGTTAATTATAAATATAAAATATGGACAGATGTATATAAAATTACTAAACTAAATAATTAAATATGAATACAGTATGATTACAGAAACTTGAGATACTATATAAATGCGAAAACTATTACAATATATACAGAATAGACTGGAGGTTGATTTTGAATAACGAGGTCGTGAGGGCGGCCACGTTTTAGACATCGTTGGAGTGGTGGATGAATATGGAGATTGTAGTGAAGTGAGCCTGTTGAGTTGAGTAATAAACTATGGAATTTTCTTGATAGTATGCGTATAAGGTCTACGATTTTAACAATTTGGAGGTCTTAGTGAATATTTTCATTTCGAATGAACCATGGTGGATCTAAATATTGAATATTACTTAAACAAAGAAGAGAGAAAAAGCAACAAATATGCAATAAATGCATGTAACTAATTCATGTTCATTATCATATTCTTTAATATTTTACTACTATATGATTTAGCGGCCCATGATTGGTCCATTAAATTTTATTAGACGGTTAAATTAATACATTTTTCATGCAACCCGGCATTAGTATAAAATCACCCATTGGCTTTTTCAAAAATGATAATATTTTAACATTTTTCAGTTACATTTCAATCATCTACCCTACGTGTCAAATCATGCACTACACACCGACTTAAAACTTAACACAATAAACGATGAAGCTAAAATATTTTATAAAAGATTCCATTACCGTCTAATAATCACCCAAATCAATTAATAATAAACTTGGCCACTCCCACAATACCTGGAAGTTTTCTGAGACATTTGAAGCTTAAGTGGTGTCGAGATCTCTTAAATTAAATTTAAAAAAAAATTAAAATATAAATAAATACATAATTATCAAGCTAACAGAAAGTGCTGTCAATGGGTGGCTTCTTTCAACAAAACCTCATGAAATGTTAACCTTAATCACATTTTCTTATTGTGTCTAGTATGGATACAGATTGTTAATTACTTTTGAAAAAAAATAAACATTTCAATCATGGTTGTTGATTCATCCAATTTGGCTTCTGTTTTTGGCAACACAAATTCTCCTTGGATTTCCTTCCCACAATCCTACTGCACGTATACTTAAGAGTTAGGACTGTCTCCAAACTCAAAATAGGTACTTACCTATGACTATAAATGTGATAGTGTTTCTTTAATTTTATATGCAAAGTAAATTATAAAAAATTATTGCCTTATACCGGAGCTGTTTGAGAATTTATGTATTCATAAAATCCTATGACGAGCCATATTTTTACTATCACTGAATGGATGAAATTTGTTGGCCCACTCAAAACCTATATAATATAAGATTTAATCTATTCTGTAGATAGGTACATTACAGCTTTCTATAATGATTTGAGTTAATTTGTTGTAAATGTATGTTTTCCTTGCAGCATCAATCGGTGGATCAGGACTGTGCAAGACTAGAGATGTAGGATTGAACATTTTCACCTTTCCTTGAACATTTAATTTTTAATATATTTTTCTTAACATAATTAATTGTTGAGGTTGTACGGTTGGTATGATGATTCAATGTTTATTATTTAATTATGAATCAATAGACTGTGAATATGAACTAGTATATATACTACATAGGCATCTACTTGTGAGATAAAACATATTTATCAATCATAAATAGTTCTGACTTCAGATCTTGTATTGAAACTGGGTACAATATAATTTGTTATAACTAATTACTATAGGTGCTCATAAAAAGTAGTTATAGACTATAGTGTAAAATTGTAGAAGTAACTCTTAATAACATAATTTGGTAACAAAATATTAGAAAAATCAATAAATGTAGAAAACGTTTATACACTCAACATTCATATATTTCATACTGAAGTATATTACAATTATTTCGATAAGTAATAGATAAAAAACAAATTATTTAGGATTTCCTGTATTATGTTTAATAGTTTAATACTAACATGGGTTACAATGGTGATACAAGTACATAAAATACATTAGTACAACATTTAGATATAATAAAATATAGACTTATAGACTTTTTATAGTAGTAAGTCGTTGGGACATGGACCATAGGCTAAGGATACGCCACAGTTATGATATAGGTAAGCTTATTATCTCCGTCTGTGGTTGTGATCAATGTTGAAGTCGGCCGCCATTTATAAAGCAAGCAATGCTTACTACATTTATTCATAGACCCAGGGACGGAGAAGACACTCAAAAATCAAAATCATGATACTTGGATTTTGAGTATCGATTGATGTCTGATAAACGTATTAGATTGGATCCAGGGTCCATAATATTGATAGAACAGTTGCCATATTTTGGAGGTTTTATAATAGAATATACAGAAAGTAATTTATATACTTGAAGGAAGGTAGGGGTGGCAGGGTGGTCATTAGCCCCAGATGCCATTCGAACTGTACCAAAAAATCTCTGTAAAATGTAAATAGATATTAGTATAAATTTATAAAATGTTTACACTGTATTGTAAGTACTTCAAGTGCATCTTGGTTTATTTTTCCAGATAGAACATATTTAAATCCAAAATTGTCTATTAAGTAATCTGTTAATTCAATACAAGAGTTCAGTGTTACACGTAAACCTTCAGAAGTACTTTTTGTTAAGAATTGATTATCAGTGACATCAACTCCAGCCCGAGCCTCCCAATCATCCAGCCATTTTAAAGAGTATTTCAACACCTGTAAGTAATCATTTTATAAAGAAAAACAATTAATAACTATAGGTTATTACTTATTATTTAGCCAATATAATTTTGTTCATACCAAGTCAACTTGACAGTCAGGTGACACTCTTAGGTATAATGAACTATTGAAATACAACACTGACAAAAAAAAACCACTTAAGCATGCAAATTTAATACATAAAGCCACAAAAGCTCACATAAAGTTTGTTATCAGACAATGGGTGTAAGTATAAAGATCCTAAAATCTCTTCTACAGTTCTACACATAAAACTATTCACATACTATTTATAATAATTTTGTAATTTAAACAAATATCACAAAATCACAACATAAACACATTCATTTTTTAATTATTTTTGTTGCTAACTTCATAATTTTTTGACCCATGTCGTAATCCTTCACATGGAAGTTTGGCGTTTAAGGCATCAAACATGTTGTTCATAATTAGAGTGAAATTAATTGTGGCATCGCTGTGTTCTAACCCAGGAACTTTATGCTTCTGATAGAATCTTAGTCCATCAGCCATAGACTTACTGAATACCTGGATATATAAATAAAGGTTAGTATAGATATAGTATAAATGTCTCAAAAGTTTGTAGATTATGGTAAAATATTACTTGGGTGGCTAGGCGGACACGCATTTTCAAACAAGAATTCAATAATTTCAAATGATTGTCAGAAATTTTGGGGCACACTCTAAGTTGGCTGTCACATATATTTTTATCGTGTTCGTGCAATAAAACATAGTGTTTCCATTTCACCAAACCTTCAGTTGGATTTACCTATTATAAAAAGTATAATATTATGAAAATGTTTAATAATATTTTTAAACATTTAAAATTTAAAATTACCAATAATTCTTTGTTATTGTATAAACGATTGAGAACATTTTTAATCAGGTGTGGAGTATCTGAAAATACAAAAAATTTCCTACTACTGTCAACGAAGTGTTCTACGTGGCTTTGGCAGTCATTCAGATGCCCACGAATTCCTAACTCTTTCCACACTTTCCTATTTGTTTGGGCACCATCAGACACTAACCCATGCACTTTTGCTCCAGCATTTTCCAATAAAACTACTGCTTTTATAATTAACTGAGTTAATATTAAACCTGCTACTGGACCTTTTGAGGCAAACACAGCAATTGGCTGAGTGTATGAGTCAGCCAAAGGTTGAAACATAAACACTAAGCCATGAGTTGCTTTATCACTCAAGTCATTTGCCTTTGGTAAATCTTCACTCCCAAAATCAATCAGTCCGGAATATGTTAGAGTCTTGGTGTTAACAGAAATACTCTGGCGTAAGGATATTTCATCAAAAATTAGTAAACCATGTTTTTGATACTCTTCTTTTCCTTCTAGGTGTTTTGCAAATAGTTGTAAAAATTGTTCGTCAAAACCACAAGATGTTTTAATTAATTGCAGATAATTTCTAATGGACCTGATACATGGCAAGGGGAGTAATTTATTTTCTCTCATAAATGAATACCCAGATGGAGACCTGATATGGAGTAGCATACACAACATTATCCAATCCTCAGTATACCTATTTCCTTTAGGGCCCTTTTTTTCTGCTGCAGCAAATATTTCTTTTATTAACAACAAGTGATTTGGAGGAGTGTTGTTTTTGATTAATTTTTCAACTATGGTATCATGTTCTAAACTTCTAAATTTAATTTTCAATTCCTTAAATTCAATGAGTATTTTAGATAATTTGTTTTGAATTCTTTTTTTTGACTCTGTATTAAGTTTATTGCGGTTACGAAGGGCTTTTAATTTTAACTTTTTGCTAGAAGTAACTTGGATATGTATTCGTTTTAACATTGGTGATCTAGATTTTTTTTCTTTTATCAAATTCAATATTTTTTTACAAAATTTACAATTTTCTGGTTTTTTATTTTTGTTTATTGTCTTAAGATCAATTGGATTTGATACTGTTGTATTTAAAATTAATGAGCAATTAACGTGTCTGAAACTATCCGATATATCTTTGTAAGTTGTCTTTGATAAATACTTTCTGTCTTCTTCGGGTATTTTTATACCACTACACATGTTAGCCAAATCAAAATTATAAATCAGATTTTGAATAGTATTTAGTTCTCTCATATTTGACTGATTCAAAATTGAATAATTATTTATAATTTTATTTAAATACCTGCATTCAATTGTCATATCTTCGTGTACACTAACACATCTTTCAAAATAAGGTAGTTTTACATCATTATTTATAAATACTTTGCTAAATATGACCATTTTTTTGTTAGCAGGGAGAATCCTGGACCAATTAAATGGAACTAAAATACTGTTCATATCATTCAATATTTTATTGAAATCATCTGATACTTTATGTGCATCAATATTATTAGAATCCAAACAAATTCTTTTTGTCTCGTTGTGTACAGGTAAGATATATGTTGAAGCTGTTGACCTTTTGTTTGTATAAATGTGTTTCTGAAATTTAAAAATAATATAAGAATACAAGGTCTTAATTAAGAATTAAAGGATCAATTTATTTTCTTTGACTGTAAAATATTTATACTTAACCTAGTAGCTAATTTAAATATTATAATGATTTACCATTTCAGACTTGTCAAGGGGAATAGCTAAATCATCATTAGTGTCAAGTTCTTGTATAATATTTTCACATTTAATGCTGGGGATGGCACCCTGAAGAAGAATAGCATTTTTATACTTTTGCTAGAAGTATAATTAATAATTAATTAAAATTAATACTGTATTAATAATCATTGAGTAATAAGTATACCTTATATAAAAATATATTATTTATAAAGTATTAAAGTAACAATATCACAAATTGAATAGAAACTAATAAAATTAGTTTTATTTACTTTTTCTATATAAACATTTAAACAATTTGTCTTTAATATACAATTATACACCACTATGTTATTATTTATATTATTATGTTATTATTAAATAGGTAACCTTACTTCTGCAATAATGTTTCCTAAGCCGTCCTTCACAAGTTTTTTTTTTATAATATAATTTGGGGAAAAATGGTTTTCACAAATTCTGTGACCTACATTTAACCCATCAATACATTTACTCCAGCATGCAAGTCTTTGTTTAGTTACTTCAAAACTTGCAATACCTTCATTGTTTTTTTTGCAAACAAAACATACTTTTGGCATTTTGAATTTGCAATATTTGGTGCACCAGTGTTCCTTACTAAGTACTTATCAAAATATAAAATTATATTTTGTATAGAACACGGTTTTTTTTTTTTTTAGAATATATAAATTACAATATGTATATAAATAATATAAATAGTTTAATTTGTATAAACTACAGGAGTTATTTTACCAATAGAGCGCAGCACTGCGCCCGTTCCAGTTATTTTACCAATAGAGCGCAGCATTGCGCCCGTTCCAATTTTTTTCCGTGATAAAAGCGTGTGTTCCTTTTGAAACTTGCCTGACCTTATATTCTAAGACCGTGGCCGTGCGTACGAGTAATCGAGTAATCAAAAAGCGCCCTCTATGTTGTTATGCTTTCCGTACTCTCTTTGCTTGTCTAGTACCCAGTACGAGGTCTGTGCATTTATTCATAAATCATAATAATGTCGTGTACAACTGTGATGGTGTTGTTTTGTAAACATATGATGCCCGTTCTATAAACGGCGGCCGACTTCGAATAAAAAATAGGAGACGACGGTAGCAGCAGCTATCTATAAGAAAAAAAAATAGTCGTCGTATAACATAATATCATTATCAGCAGCAGCTAGGTAGTAGTTACTCGTTAGTCAGACAGTCAGTCGTCAGTGCGTGACCAAGTTTTCCCGTCAATCGTCATTAGTCGGCCGCGGTTAGTCCGCACTTCCGCAGCCGTCTCCATTCTCCAGGAATTAGTCGATTTTTATTACGATTTCTATTCTGTCTCAGTCCGTGCCCGAAATTGAATTATTGGTTTTTGATATTATTAACCCATCAGTGTTGTATGGGTATTTATTTTATTGATTTATTCGATTAAATTATAGTTGAAACGATAATGATTTCGCCCATAGCCATATGTAAAAAGAGTTATTTACATTTTAAATACATATATATTCTTTCGGTCTTTAACACATTGCTTTTGGGGCTATGACTGTATTATTCTTGTTCAAAGTGATTTAACATAGACAACCAGCTAGTTAACGATCGTTTGGATCATGGCTATACATTCGTGTCCGTATGAAGATTGCACTTCTACATTCAGTCGTCCATACCGTTTACAAATTCATATTCAACGACATCAAGGCATTAAACAATTCCAATGCACCCAATGCGATCGCGGTTACCATCGACGACAGCACCTGCAGAGACATTTTGCAGAGGCTCATCAAAATCATTCGAGGTTAGAACAAGCGTTGTTTTGTGATCACTGTGACCGATCATTTAACACAGCATGGGGCCTCCGCAGACATCAGGCCAAAATAAAGGTACCGACAGTACGTGACAGGCCGCATTGCTGTGAGACTTGTGGCCGAAGGTTTTTCAAAATCGATCATCTCAAAATTCATTCATTGAGACACAACCGTTTCAAATGTGACATCCCATCATGTACACTATCTGAACATAATTTCAGTTGGTCATATTATCAACGACACTTGGCTACTCACCACTCCCAACCTTTTGAGTGTCATCATTGTAACAAACAATTTTTTCTTAAGTCTCAAATAAGACAGCATGTTGTACAACACATGCCTAACTTTGTTTGCACACAGTCGGGATGTGGTAAAACATTTGTCAAGTATAGGTATATGTACAATCATGTTCAATCTTCTCACAAAGAAAGAACGCACAAATGCAGTGTCATTGGATGTGATTGGGTTTTTACACGCAAAACTCATTTAGAAAATCATATTAAAGTCCATCAACAAAATGGGAGAATTGTTCCAATGGCAAAAAGGTATAGAAAAAAGGAATCAACATTTTTTATGGCAAAGAAATTGGCTGCATTAGCCTTAAAAACAACTAAAATGTTAAATTAGATTTATTTACATGTATTAATTAAGTATGTATATTAAATTATTATAATTATACAAAAAGCTTTGATAAAAAGTCTGTTCTTGATTCAATATCTGGTACACTGTTTTTGTTTTGTAAAAATTCTTCCTCTGGCAACCTTTGCCGAACATTAAAATTGACATTTGATTGCTGATATAACTTATTCTTTTCACTTCTAACAATGTTAGAGGAGAAGTGATTTGCTTCCCTTTTCACTTGTGATACTTCGGCTCGTAGACGGTGTTTGCGTACAGCTTTTTCATAAGCTAAGCGTTCGTTCAGATGCACCCATTTGAATCTGAAAGTCAATGTCAGAATGATACGAAATGTGATGAACGGAGATAATAATATCGTGGGCATTTGTGTTTCATATAAGGCACGATTACACATGATATCGATGAACTACTAAGCACATTACCTGGGTAAGTATTTTAAGTTCCACACACTGTCGAAATATTTGCTGCGCTTTCTGGAATCGATTCGCTTGCCATTGAGTAGTTCTGCCACCTGTTTGGCGACCTTTTTCCGTTCGAATTCTACCCAGCCCTCTGTGAAATGTTTGGCCGGTCTCTTTTTCAGGTTCGCTGAAAACGATACATAAGTCTGTAAGAATTAAAAACCCACCATCAACAGAAATGATCATGTATTACGATTGGAAGCCGGCTGTAGAAACACTCTGCCTATGTCACCGTATTGACCCAACAGCTCGCGCAGTTTCGTTACGTTCATGTACTTCGGTATTGACGACAAGTACACGATACCCTTTTTCCGGGTTTGGGGAGCCGAATCGAACGACAGTAACGATTCGGATTCACAATCGCTCATTGTTCGATGAAGGTGTCCGACAAGCGATCGAGCGAAATAATTCACTTTTTATTAATAAATGATGGATAAAACTTCCGACTTCGTGTTGTTACTTTTTAATACTTGTTGTACCAGCAGTTAATAATTGGTTTCAATATTTCACATCGCACGTGACGAATTTGAAAAGTGATAAAGACTCCTTAATCACTGATTTCCGAATGATACGGATAAAATCATTGAATATTAAACCAGTACCTAACATTTCGTCGCTAGATGACGTTGCCGTATACGATCTTTTGATTTTGTATCCTATATGGGTTAAATAATATTTCAGATTTTTTAATTTTAAAATCACAGTTTTATTTTCCACTGATTTTGAATGGTAATTAAATAAAGTATTCATATTAAATGTACTATGATGTATACATCATAATGTAAGTATAGAGTATAATGTATTATGCATAATGCATTTATACTTGTAGTAGATTGATATAGGTACATATTATTATACTATATACTCTATAGATATTATATAATATTATATTTTACTTATTTCATGTTTATTTTAAATAGGCCTCTTAATAAATTAAAAGAACAATCTAATCTTACCAAAAAAAATCAATGGGAAGTGTCACTACTGTGTGGCTTCTTCTAGCAAGTACCTATTTAAATTAGCACATTCTTATTATAGGTATGCCCTCCGGGTACCGATTATGTATTTCAATGTAAAAAATAAAACAATTTGTAATAAATACAAATTAATTGTGCTCTGAACGAATTTCTGATTTTTAATTTGTACTAATACCGTATTTTTTATGTCCGGAAAAACTATGTACATTTTAGCACAAAACCAGTTTTCGACCAAATATTTATATCTCGTTTTTTTTTTTTTTCAATCTAAAATTGATAAACTATAATATTATATAGAGTCTTGAATTGTCACGAAACAATCACTTTAGAGTTTACTATAAATGTTTAGGCTGTTTTGTGCTTTTTTTTATTTTTGTACCTTCATAAAAAATATGCACACCTACTGCGTATTATGTATTTTCAAGATGTTTATAGGATTCTGAAAGAACAACTTACAATACTAACCTTGCTTATTGAATGCTTACCCATAGGTACGTTTATAATAGATGGTTTAAAAATTGTCAATGTGATATTTCCTAGGGCATTGGATTAAAAACCTAATTTTGTTTTTTTAACATTGATTGTAAAGTGTCCACTAAAATTATTTCATGTTAAGTGCTAAGACAGCAAAATATGTATACAGTATACATACCATTAAAATGAAATATTGACCTTAATATTGTTAAGTATATATCTACTAAATAGTAAAATAGTAAAATATAGTATTTAATACTGTAAAATGTCAAAATATCAAAAACATTGTTCATTAAAAAGTTGTTTAATTTATTGTATTCGTTGCAATGTCATAATAACTCACAAGAAACGTATTTTTTTACCCGACTGCAAAAAGTTTTTACTTTTAAATAATGAACCGTACAAAATAAATGTACAATGAAACTGTTGACCTTTTTTTTGATTAAAATATAGTCATATGGCCATATAGAGGTACATGTGATGCGATTAATTAGGTAAAATATACAATAAATAATAATTCATAAAATTCTCAAGGTTGTAATTGGGGAGGACACCCCTCCCCACCACATAAATTTTGAAAAGTAAAATAAAATTTTTATATTTAGAACATAGAAATATTAATCCATCCAAACCAGACGCCTCGGACGCGAATGGCCCAGAGATCTTCTCAACACACATCAAACTTAAGGTATTTATAACTATTTCTCCCTAAATTACCATTCACGTAGGAATTTCTACTGTGAAACTCCTACTCATTGTCTTTTTCTCACCGCCTCATTTTATATTCTTTCATTCTCATTTACTTATTGTACCATTATTATTGTATAGATTGTTAATTCAAAAATAACTATTTATTTAAGTAAAAAAAATAATAATAATATAAGTGTCTATAAATAGTAGGTACCCACATTAAAAAAATGTTGGAAAACTCCGAAATTGGTTGACGATACATATTTTCTTATTCTTCTGAAGGTTCTTAGGCACAATTTTTCTAACTATCATGTCAATTTTAAATGTTGACTAAATTCATCAAAACCATGAAAATTTGCAAATTATTTTCTCTTATTTTTACTTATGATAAGGTACCTATTCTGGAAGATCGATTAAGCTCGACAGCCGTCAAATATTATTAAGTCTATTGCTCGGCGAAACTGCAGTACTGGATAACTTGCAAGGGTCGATTTTTTAATTTTTCACACCTACCATGAAGCCAGAAAATCTTTTTGGTGTGATTGATTTAACATCATAGATGAGGTTGAGGCCGTTGAGGGTAATTAACTTACTTGTTGACCGATCTGTGATGACGAGGAAATGTACGAATGTACGAAGCCCGTACAATGGTTTAGGTAGATAGGTTATCTATACATTTTACATATTAACGAATTCCAAACTACTGTTATATATTCGTGTTTTTTTTTTCAGAGGGTATTTTAAACTATTGCTCGCGGAAAGTCGGATGATCCATTAAAGTCTTCTTACAAATAAATATAACAACAATATAAAATACGTGTTAATATCAAAATATATTTCAAATTTAATTTTTAGAAAATATCAAAAAAAACTATTTAACTATTAACTATTTTATTATAATTAATGTATAGGTAGGTACTTTGCCGCAATAAATTTGGTCATATACCTACATGAAAATATAAAACATAGAAAGAAGACTAAAAACAGTCAACAGATGCAATACAGATAGAAATTGTTCGAAATAAAAAATTCAATGTTTTCAATTTTGTCAAAAACTGGTTTTGTGTAAAAAAAATCTAATTTTCCCGATTTTGTGTAGACGTATATAATAGTATAATACTGAGAATTTCCAAGCCCGCCTCCACAGTTACATTTTGATATAATTTGCTACCAGAAACCATCCTTAAAGTTGAACTAGTTGAAGCTTGGTTTTTAGTTTTGTTTTTACTGCTTCTAAAAATGAAGTCAGACACAAAGAAAGAATCATTGTAAAATACTAAATTTATCGATCCGCTCTGAATCTAAAATAATATAGTGTGTTCGCCATACGCAAAATCATTGAATATTTTTTTCTCCAATTTTAAAATTACTAATTTAACTTCGGTATGAATATTATGAATAACTTAAATACATACCTACGTAAAAATACCACGGAAATAGTAGGTTAGGCTCAGTGGCGTGATCAGCTTTTTTGAAAAGGGTGATACGAATTTTTGACTATTCCGAGGCCGCGTTAAGTATGCATTCATTGCTTTAACATATATTATAACAGACAAAAATAAACCAAAGGGGGGGGGAGGGGGTTATGATACCCTCATCCCCGCTAGTTAGGCTATATTATGTGATTCGTGTTCGAAGGCAATTTCAGTGTTGGGTGATTGCATCCTTTGCATGGGAGGTGCGCCATGTGCCTCAAACGTCACCTGTGACTGAAATTGCTCACTTCCCTCATTGGCCACACATAAATATTATTTCGTATTAGACACGACACGCATAAAATCTAAATGTCTGATTATATATTTTCCAAGGTTTAACTTCTTACAAATATCTATCGAAGTTATAACATAGTCATATTATGTTACTATGCAAGAGTCCGCAGCCCGTAGGTCGAGGTTATTAAGGCTAGATACTATTGACAAGTAGAGTGTAAACAGTAGACTATACAACTCCAGTGGTTATGGTCAAGACTCATTACTCAACGAGGTCAACAGCCAACAGGAAGAGAGAACAACAATAACAATTCTAATTAGTAAACAGTAATAAATATTTAATAACAGCTATAATGATAATGATAACACTGTCATTGATAACAGTTGAATAGTTGATATCAATAATAATATTAATAATGTGCGCGTCGGTACCGTCCTTCCGGGCTGGACCCTCTGGCCTCTAGGGCTCTAGCACCAACTCTGTCTATAGCAGCTTATATTTTTCTAGCACCGAGGTACACGAGAGCTGAGAGCAATAATAATAATTATTGTAATGACGTGTTATGTATCATTACTGTCGGCGCAAGAGTTCGAGATTGCGTCGCAGCCTGTAGTTAGTAGAATAAAGATTATTGTAATTAAGTCGAATTTACTGTTCGACGGTCGTCGTGGCGACCGCGGGCAGTCGTGGACCGTGGCTACTTGGCAGGATTCCAGGAAGAAACAAATAAAATCGCAGATGATAGCGAAAACGCAGTGTGTCCAA